ATTAGCAACACGTCTTCCAAAATCTGTTTTCAGGAAGGAAATCAATAAAAGAAATGGGAGGTGTTGGATATTCGCAATGGTAAAATATACCAAACTTAACTGGTGATTTCCAAGGAATCTACAGAACGTTTCGAAACTGACTTTAACCTTCACCTTCCCCAACACCAGCTCAAAGCTCCTCCCCTCCCCGTTGACACCCCAGGAATCCAGCACCTACGCACTTAGTCCCGCCTGCCCCGCCCCTGGAAGGGTCCAATCGCGGATCAGGATCCCTCACGCAGCCCCGCTCCAAGCCGGGCGACCCAAGGTCCGCCCCCCGCCCACTCCCAATTCCCTAGCGGCTCAGGGCCTGCCTCCAGATTTGCCTCAGCTTCTGGCTACGCCTCATCTGTCCTTAACTATCTGTCCTTAACGCCCAGGATCTGTCCTTAACTACAGCCCAGCCAACCCCGGACGAGGATTCATCCACCAGCCCCGCCCCGAACCGAGCCCCGCCCCTGCCTGACTCAGGGTTCGCCCCGCCCCGCCCAGCGCGGCTCAGGCCCGCCTCCACTCTTAGCCTCGTCCCGCTGGCTCAGGGCAGCTGCGCCTGCAGCCTGGGCTCACCTGGATCTCCTGACAGGCTAGCGCCGCCCGCCGGCCCTCCGCCTGCTTCTCCTCTATGAGGCCCAACCCCAGCCCGAAGGCCAGAAAGACGGCTCGGCCGTAAGGGCCCGCGCCGCCCCGGGCGCGCACCACGAACTGCCGCTGGAGCCGCGCCGCCAGCCCGACCACCGACTGGCGGAAAAAGCGGTAGCGGTCTGGGAGTCCGAGCCCGCGCGGCTCTCCGCCGGGTCCTGCGGCCCGGCCCGGGCGCTCTCCGCGGCCCCAGCCGGCCGCCGGGCCGGGCCTTCCCCAGCTGCAAGCTGGGCCAGGCTTGGCTGTGAAGCGCAGCAGCAGCGACCGACCCAGCTGCAGGCCCCGGCCCAGCGCCTGTCGCACCGCCATGGTGGCGCCGCAACCCGGTCCCGCTGCCACCGCCACAAGCGTCCGGGACTCGGATGACAACAAACTACGGGGCGGTGTCTCTGCGCAGGCGCGGGCGCCAGTGGACGGGGCGGGGCCACGGCGGTTCCTCTCCCCGGCTCACCAGGGCGCTGTGTGCGCACCTGAGCGGCGTGTAGCCTCCTGTTGGTTTGCACTTTGCACCCAGGTGGAAGGGTTGCAAGCTCAGCCAGTTTTAGATGTAAGCATCACTGGTTCTGGGCCAAATCGAGAAATTGAAATGGAAAACAAATATTTATCAACCACCATGCCGGACCATTTGTATATTTTAATTTTTTTATAGGCAAGTGACAAAAGGGGCCGTGTTCAAGAGCACGTGCAGGTATTAGAACTGAAGTTAAAGTTGCCTTAACTGTTGAGTCCTTGCCTTCCCCATTTCTTTTAGGCTCCTTTACAGGTCTGCGGCCCCTGAGCTTTTTGAGACCCCAAGTGAAATCTCCCTCAAAGATTTTCTCTTATCTGCATGAGCGAGCTTTGGGACGTGGAGGGACTTGCCTAAATGCCTGTTACCCCCAAACCGCTGTTCGGAATGGCTGATAAGCATATTCATTACTGAATGACTTATTTTTTTCTTGTCCTTTTTTAAAAAATGGAATTTTCAGGTATACACAAAAATAGGATCAGATTTTGGAACCCCACTACCCATCATCCAGCTTAACAGTTACCAACAGCTATTATTTTTCTTCACTTAAACCTTCCTATCCCCTGCTCCATTATTTTAAGGCAGACATCTGATTAATTCATTTGTTAATACTTCAGTGTCTATTTCTTTTTTTTTTTGAATTATTTTTTATTAGTTTTTGATGAACTTTATTTTATTTATTTGTTTGTATGTGGTGCTGAGAATCGAACCCAGTGCCTCACACATGCTAGGTAAGCGCTCTACCACTGAGCCACAATCCCAGCCCTCAGTGTCTAAGAGAGAACTTAAAAAAAATAAAAATAAAACAATTATCTCTTAAAAATACATTAACTCCATAATAACATTCAATACCTACTGAATATTTACAGATTTCCTCATTTTTTTCTATTAGTTATTCAAATTGGGATCCAAAGTCTAGATGGTTTATTTGTTTGGTGGATTTAAAAAAATTTTTTTTTAGTTGTTGATAGACCTTTATTTTATTTATTTATGTGTGGTGCTGAGAATTGAACCCTATACCTCACACATGCCAGGCAAGTGTGCCACCACTGAGCCACAGCCACAGCCCTTGGTGGGTTATTTTTTAACCAGGCACCAAGTCACCCCTGAGCCAAGAGGTATATTTTATGGCAGTGCATTTTTCAAACGTCCCTGCAGTCTTAGATACCTGCGTTCCTTACCTGAAAGCTGATCATGAATGAAGGACCCTAAAGACATAAAACCTTTTTGTTGGTGTGGCCATGTGTCTGTGTGTGATTGGGGGAACTTCGGGGCCAGGAGACATTTACCTGATCAGAGACTCACTGCCAGCATTGCTTGATAATAAAGGCACAGGTTACCCCTTTTATTTCAGGGTTATTTTCAGACTTGAGTAAGGATGGGAAGCTTGAGTAGAAGTCAGGCCACTGCAAAAGGATCTACCTTAGAACATACATACGTAAATATATGAGATATGAAAATGTAGATATACAAATGGGAACCCAGTGATTTCACTCCTCCTTTATGGACTCACAGAAATGCATACATATGTTCCCCAAGAATGTTCAGAGCAACATTGTTCAACATTGTATAAAACTGGAAATAGCCCAAATGCCCATCTATAGTAGACTGGGTAAATTGTGATATATTTCCTTAATGGAGTACTAAGCAGCCATCATTATATTCAACAACAGGGATGTATTCTGTAAATATACTGGTGAGTTATAGGTGGACCCAAAAGAGTAGAGACTGTGATCCCACTATGTAAAGTTGAAACTGATCTATAGTGTTAGGGGTCAGGACAGTGGGTGACCTTGGAGGGTAGTTTCTCAAAGGAATGGAAAGATATTTTTGAATGCTGGTGATGTTTTCTTTCTAGATCTGTGAGTGTTCACGTGATGAAAGTTCACTCACTGTACACCATGATTTCTGCAATTTTCCATATGTAATATTTTTTTCTTTTTATCTTGGTGCTGAGGATTGAACCCAGGACCTAGTGCATGCCAAGCATGTCCCCTTCCTCTGAGGTATGCCCTAGCCCTTGTGTAAAATATTTCAGTAAATACTATAAATTTAAAAAAAAAACTTTTTTCATATAATGAAAACTGTTAAAAGTTTGGTCTAATTCACTCATGGTCTCAAGTTTTCAAAAAACAATGAGCCCACAATGGAATAACCTGTTAATAGTCACAGTTTACTAAACTGCACTTAGTGGTTTAAAACAACTACACTTGAATAATGCACTTTGTTTGGTCATAAACCTGGAGTTGAACTTTGCCTTGAAGTTGCATACATTCAAATCGGCCCATTTCCTCAACATGGTAGATATACCTTCCACTATCTGGAGTCAGCCAACATTAAGGGACAGCTCAGATCTGGGCAGTCCTTACTTTGATTCTTCTGAAGGTTTTGCAGGAAAGAAGCCCAGGGCAGAGAACAGGCACAGTTTTATATCCCTTTTTTTTCTCCTTAAATGCCAAGTCAAGGGACATGCAGACAGCAGGTGTTGCCAAAGGAGAGATTCTTCAGTCGTCCGAAGAGCCTGGCCCCCAGGTGTGCTGCTATGGGATGGACCCCTGGCCAGGGACAGGTGGACCACTATGTTAGCACAGTACATGCTCAGGGATCTCTCTTGTCAGGATCTGCCTGAAGACAGGAATCGCAGGCGCTCCTGATTTCCAGTCATGTTTATTTGGGAGAGACATAAATAGACAAATTTTCATTTTATTTATAGAGGCACATGGAAATCACATATTGCTTTTGATTTTTAAAATTTTTTTTTAGTTGTGATTGGGCGCAATACCTTTATTTTATTTATTTATTTTTATGTGAAGCTGAGGATCGAACCCAGAGCCTCGCATGTGCTAGGCGAGTGCTCTATTGCTGAGCCACAACCCCAGCCCCTTGTTTTTGATTTTATGCTTGATCTTAGACAATTTAAAGTTATGGTTTTAAATGCTCTTTTGAAACGATCCCATTGGAGAACAGTAAGGAGGAGGAGGTTGGAGAACCCAGACTGCAGGGATTACAGGCTCACCCGTGGAAACGCAGCTGGGGCGAAGGTCTCAAAGTTTAAATCTATTTACCTCTATGTCTGCCATTGTAGCTCTTCTTTCTAAGGTTTACAGAGAGGGAACAAGAGGTTCTCTGAGATATTTAGTATTTTAACTACAAGGATTTTCTCTGATCTTCTGGAACATCAGCTTTTGCTACATGGTCCAGGATGACTGCTCAGATTGTAAGCCATGTTTGCTAAAGGACATTGTGTGGGTTGTCGGGAGTTAAGGGGTGCATTTTTTTTATAAGCCTTTGGATTTGTTCCCCTAAGCTGTGAACAAACTTAAAGAACCTGTGATGCGTAACCACCTGCTGGAAATGAAATCTCCAGACTGATGTTAATTAACCTTCCATTGTACACTGGACCCATTCACATCTCCTCCTGTAGAAAGATCTAAGTTGCTTCTGACAGCTCTGGGCCAAGTGCGGCTTGAAGCTTGATTCTCTGGCAGACATCCACAATGAAAGGTAAGCAGGTGGGTTTTTGCACGAAGAGGCCTCTGGCAGGGATTTCAGAGTCAGAGGTTCTTATTCCTCTCGGGTATAGACACAGGCGCCCAGGGCAGGCCTGTCCTGGGGACAATGGGTCCTGATTCATTCATCCCCATCTGTTCTCCTGGGAAAGAAATCTTTCCTTAGTGGCACCAGGTATGGCAGGGGGCAGGAATCTTTCCCAGATTCCCCCATAACCTCTCCCGTCTCTGCCGTGTTACCCCAAGGACATGGGATGTGGTTTTCTGCTGATATTGCAGATTTAAAATTCTATAAGAGAGACTCATTGATTCACATAGCATTTATTACCCATCACACATATACCAGGCAGGCTTTGATTTGCTCAGATGCAAGAATGAGAGGAGGGTGGGGGGTCCTGGGGAGGCCACAGGATCCTTTCTGGTCTGTACTTTTCTGGTCTGTACCTTTCCCTCCAGGTGGGCAAGCCTGCGTTTTACCTGAGTTTTAGTAAATTATATAATATTCCTAAGAAGCATCACTTAACCCTCCAAAGGATGGGGAGGTAGGGTGGTGTGTGGAACTGATGCTGATGTAAAAATGGAAAAGGCAAGACACACACAAAGAGAGAGAGAGAGAGAGAGAGAGAGAGAGAGAGAGAGAGAGAGAGAGAACTGTGGAGAGCTGTTTGACCTTCCCTCTCTAGACCGCATCTCTTGGAACTGTTTCAGTGCTTTCTGTCCTCTCCTGGCAGGAGACAAGACACATTTTCCCAGAACAGCAACATCTTTTATCCACAGAGCGTTTCAGAAATGCTCTTTCTAAATTGCCAGCCCAGGTGGAAGGGGATTTTGCTAAAACTGTTGACAGAGCGAAGCTGCAACCAGATCACAATCTCACAATCCTGCTACTACTCAAAACTCCTGGGCTGGAGGTTTTGGGGGTTTTGATCAGACCTTGGTAGTCAGTGAGATTTCCACATTGCCTGCGCCAAGATGGATGAGAGCACGGTGGCACTGGAGCCACCGTGACGTTGCCTTGTGGGGAAGTTCAGGCGATCGATCAGTGGTGTGTGCAGTCGATATTTCTGCTGCCCTACACTGCTTGTCTAAAGGACAAATACAGCTGTGTCACCTGATGCAGAAAGTCCTTCCTAGGCCCTCACCCATAACCTTCAGAATGGAGCCCGAGACAGCTCCTTAGCGTGGTAAGGAAGGTGCCTCACTTTTTGGTCTCAGGGTCTTTCTTGCTGATCCCCCTGCCCTGCCCTTTATGATGCATCAGTGCTGAATTATTTGGGGTCACCTCCTTCAAAAAGGCTTCTTTGACCTTCTCCAGACTGGACTAGATGCTCATTCTCTGTCTTCCCCTCTAAAATACGAGCTCTGTAAGGACAGAGGTGGTGATGTTTACACCTTAGCGTCTCCAGCACCCCCGCCCAGGGCCTGCCAAGTCCCCAGCCTTTGTTTAAGAGCCATGGGGGAATACAAGTCCTCAGTGGGCACACTCATGTCTAAGGCCAAGGTGAGAAGAAGAGGTTGTGACATGCTTTCGAACTTCTGGTCACATCAGTCACTCCTTCTGGGGAGGAGAAAAGGAAGGTGTGCAGAGAGGCCTGAAGATAATGTCAGAGCTGCCCCCTCTCGCCCCTCCGCTGCAGAACCATTGGGGGCAGCCACCCTTTAGGATTTGTGCCACATTGTTGCTATTACATTTCTTTCCTTTTTATTCTCAGCTCAATGGTAGACTGCCCGCCTGGGCTCCTGGAATCCATCCCCAGAACTGCGCAAACCAACCAACCAACCAAAAACAACCCCCAAGCCTCCATTGGCAGTGCATGGACACAGGCTCCTGATAAAAAGAAGTCAGTTGCTGTCCCCACCTTCCCTAAGCCTAGTCCTCAGCCCAAGGACAATATTTCCTTTTTACCTATTTTTTTTTCTGATAATTTTCTTTACATCTCTTTTATTTCTTGATTTAGCAGATGGATCTATTTAAAGCACAAAACTGACCCTCCACCTCTACCTGAAGCTGAGGGTGCCCTTTGGAATAGAGCTCAAATTCCTTCCCGGGGCTCACCACGCCTGCTGCTTCTGACCCTCTGCTACCTACCTTTCTTTTTTTCTTTCTTTTCTTTTTCTTTTTTTTTGTGGTGCTGGGGATTGAAGCCAGGGCCTGGTCATGCGAGGCAAGCGCTCCACCAACTGAGCCACATCCCCAGCTCCTCCTGTCTGTACTTTCTGTACTTTTCGTTTTTTCTTTCTTTCTCTTGGTCATGTGCATTTTCACTTTCCACATCTGAAGAATGCCACGTCCTCGTATTTGTGCCCTTGTGCAGTCCCTTCTAGGATGTGGCTGGGTCTCAGTGGCTTGCTTCTAAGGATAGAATATGTGAAGATTGACAGGATGTTGCTTTGTCGGGTGGGAGGTTACAGAAAGGCTCTGGTTTCTGTCTTGCTTCCTTTCTTGCTCTCCTACTGGCTTGTTCTAGGGAGAAGAAAGGACCAAGTCATCTCAGCAACAGCTCATAAGGAACCGAACCAGCTGACAACATGTGAGCTGCCCTTAAAGTGGATTCACCCCCAGTCGAGTCTTCAGAGGAGACACAGCCTGGCCTGCCACCTTAATTGCTGCCTTGTAAGGGACCTTGAGCCACAGGACCTGGCTAGCCCCCAATCCTGGCCAGCAGAAGCCGAGAGCATACATGATCCTGGTCCTAAGCTACTAAATTTGGGGTTAATTCATTACACAGAAATAGATAACTAATGCAACCATTATGCTGTCCATTTTTCTGTTCAGTCATAGAGTTTTTAATTCCCACCTTAATTCCTCCTTCACCAAAGTATGTGTGTGTGTATTATTATATTCAATAACATTTTTAATAAATATATTTATTTATTTATTTAAAAAACATGTAACAAACTGAGGATTCCTTTGGTTTGGTTTCTGTGCCCATAAAATCAAATACAAGTGTGGGACTTGACTAGGAACCTAGGGTCTTGCAAATTCTAATCTGGTGTTTTACCACTGAGTGACACCCCCAGCCCTCCCTCCCTCCCTCCTGCCTCCCTACTTTCCTTCCGTCCTGAGGTTCTGGGGCTTGAACCCAGGGCCTTGCACATGCTAGGAAGTGCTCTTCCACTGAGCTGCATCCCCAGCCGCGCTATTTTTTGTAAATATATTTGTAATTGTAGTTGGACACAATACCTTTCTTTTATTTATTTATTTTTATGTGGTGCTGAGGAACAAACCCAGGGTCTCACATGTGCTAGGCGAGCGCCCTACTGCTGAGCCACAACCCCAGCCCCTCCCAGCCCCCCTATTTATTCTTGAACATTTTCTGGTTTCATTTCAAACACAGTCACTGAAGTATCCCCAGTGTCTGTCATTATAGCTGTGTAAAAGGAAACCCCAAAGATTCGCACAGTTTACATAAGCAGTCTGCAGCAGCTGGCGAGAGCCGTGGGACCCTACATGCTTCTATTTATTTCCATGGAAATCTGGATGTGCTTTAGGCTCCGAAGACACCCAGACCGTGCTGAACACGGAGCGTGTACTGCTCTGCCTACCCAGATCCTCAGCTGCAGAATGAAATGTTTCTATTTTAAATAAACATCCCAGCCCCTGTAGAGTCAAATAAGCGCTGTTCTTCCAAGTGGACACCATTCAAATAATTTCTGGACTCTTTCTGTGGCGAAGAGTACCAGAACACTGGGCCCCATCCTGTAGCCGGACCTTATGTTTTTTCACCCCTCTCCTAACCCCAGTCCTTACCTGAATGGTAAAAAAAAAAATCTTACTTTCCCACTGAGCCTGAGAGGTCCCTGAGGGCAGGGATTTTGTCTTATTCACTGATGTGTCCCCAGGATGGTCCCAGTCTTAGCCCACACTAATAAATATTAAAGGAATCAACAAATCGGTTGTAAAAGACTGTTGACTCTTTACAAAAATTAAATCCATCCTCATAGGACCAAAATTTGTCACCCTTAATAAAGTTGAAGAGGTGACATTTATGGAGACCTTACTAAAGGCTGAACAGTGGACTTTGGGGGCAGGTACTGGGGATTGAAGTCAGGGTCCCTCAACCACTGAGCCACATCCCCAGCCCTATTTTATATTTTATTTAGAGTCAGGGTCTCACTGAGTTGCTTAGCACCTGGCTGTTGCTGAGGCTGGCTTTGAACTCTTGATCCTCCTGCCTCAGCTTCCTGAGCTGTTGGGATTACAGGCATGGGCCACTGCCCTAGGCAAACAGTGGACTTTTAATATCACATTGTTTCATTCTGTCCCTACAACAATCCTATGGGGTGGATACTGTCATTCCCATTTAACAGATGAGGAAACTGAGTTTCAGAATCATGAAATACCTTGCGCTAAGCCACATGGTTTACAGCCTGTTCAACTCCAAAGTGTAAACCTTTAAACATTTTACTATATCATTTTTCTTTATTTTATTTTTGTTAATTTATTAATGTTTTGGAAATATAAAAAACCCAAAATATATACAAGAAAAAAAATCAATCGTTTATATTCTTAATAAGCAGAACTTTAATTAATGTAAATCTTGGCATATTTTTTCTAGCTTCTTCTTTTTAAAATTTCTCTACCTATTTTGTTGGAAACGTTTGGAAGACTGTGCCAAAGGTCCGGAAGCCATTTTAATGAAAAGCAGAGTAGAGTTTTGCATCCTGCAGCAACAAATGTTGGGACAACTACTGTCTAACACGGTGGCAGCAGATGAGTCCGGGTGCGTGAGGTCTGCCATGGTCTCCCCAGGCAGCAGCACCTGGCTGGAAAAGACTTCCGGTGAAGGCAGACTTACTCGTCCACTTCCTGTCCTTCAGGGTAGCAGTCAGCTTTCTGTTGCTGTGACAAAACACCTGAGGTAGTCAACTTTTTGAAAAGGAGGAACGGTTTATTTTGACTCACAAGATTCAGAGGTTTCAGACAGGGTCACTTGGCCCTATTGCCTTGGCAGGAGTTCATGGCAGAGCGGGTCTGTTGACTTCATGGCCACCAGGAAGCAAAGAGACAGACAGGAAGCAGGGAGGGGCTGGGGTACCTATAGTCCCTCCAAGGCCATGACCCCAGTGGCCTCACTCCCTCTAGGTCCCACATCTCACAGGCTCAACCACTCCCAGCAGCACCTTGGGACCCATCCTTCAACACATGGGTCACTGGGTGACGTCCCAAATCCAAATTATAGCATCCAATTATTACTTCCCTTTCTTGACCAAAGGAACCTGAGTTCTATTTTTATCCCACCCACTGAGCTGGCCCCAAGGTCAGTTCTTCCTGGAAGGACACCTGGAGCTGTCACCACCCCCCTCCAGAGGACCAGCCTTGATTCCTTCCCTATTCAGTCCTGACCTTCGTGTGTGTGTGTGTGTGTATGTGTGTGTGTGTGTGAGAGAGAGAGAGAGAGAGAGAGAGAGAGAGAGAGAGACCCAAGGCACCACTGAAGTGGACAGTCCCTCCATGGTGCTCCTTACCTCCAGGACACATCATGGCCCCCACAGTGCCACCCACACTCGGTACTGCCCGGACCGCAGTGTGTATTTGTGGGTTCTGTTTACACTTCTCTTTTCCTGTCAGACTGTTGCTCAAGGGCAGAGACTGTGTTTTAGACATTTTCCTCTTTGCATTATTTAGCATATTCGATGTATAAAACCCTCATAAATAAACACACCAGCTGTGGGGGAAAATGCTCGGAATCGGGCAGACTTGGTTCAGATTCCAGCTCTGCCACTGACTAGCTCTGTGACTCTGGGCGTGTGGCTCAAGTCCTCTGAATTTTGCCTTGTTTATTGATAAAGTGAAGGTGATAATCTTGCCCTTTGGTTTGATAAATGAGGGTGTAATGGGTCCATTGTGGTACACACCTCGGTGCATGGCGAAGTCCACAGAGTTTCTAGAACATAGGGGAGGTCAAGGGCCCTGGATTCTGTGCCGAGCTTTGCCATGGTCCTAGAATAAGAGCTCGATTCTCTGAATCCCAGCACCCTCATCTGTGAGAAGGGGAGATAGCCACCTCCCACAGTTGTTGAGCATTTTCTATGAAAAATAACACACACGAAAGTCTACGCCTCCCAGGAGGCCCCGAGAGGAAGCTTTGGGAGCTTGTCTAGGCTCCCTTCACGCCCTTTGGAATCTCAGCTGCAGGCAGCAGGTGGACAGCGTCCAGGGCTCAGGTCTATGCTGAGCCAAAACCAGACTCTAGAGATGGTGTCCTCGTTGGCTTTCCGTGACTATAACAAACACCCGAGATGATCATCTCATAAAGACAAAAGGTTTATTTTGGCTCCCAGTTTTGGATGCTTCAGTACATGACTGGTTTGTCCCCTGACTTTGGGCCTATGGAAAAGCAGCACATCATGGCAGGAGGGGGTGCCAGGAGCAAAAGCCTCATGACAGGAAAGCAAAAGAGAAAGAGACTGGGGTCCCACAGTGCCCTACAGGGTCATGCCGCCCCTGACCTGAAGCTCTCCCACCTTAAAGGTTTCACCCTCCCTCAGCAGTGCCACAGGCTGGGGACCAAGCCTTTTAGATGTGGGCTTTTGGGGGCAGTCGAGGTACAAATGGCGGCAGATGGAAGAGTGGCACAATTTTAAAGTATCTGCTTTCTCCCAAGTAGACTGTCCAGGTCCTTCTAAAAGGGACAGATGGCCCTGCGCCTGTGAAGAGCTGCAGCAATGATAGAAAGCAAACACATCTGTGCAAATCGGGCTGTGGGTGACAAGCAGAGCCGCTGGAACAGGCCAGGACCTCAGGTTGGGGCAGTGTCCAGAGGTGGAGCTTTAAAGAGGGCCATGGGAGGGAAAGCCAGGGACAGGGCGCTCTGAACCCCAGGGTGGACAGGGCGCAGGAGGGCTCCTGCCTGGCGAGAGAAGCCCTATCCCCTCATGGTGCTTGGTGGACTTGGAAAAGCACTCCTCCCTGGCCCCGGTATGGCGGGACCCCGTTTGGCAGGTGTCCTTAGGCCAGCAAGGACATCTTCAGGAAGTTTTCTGGGTGACTGTCCCCTTAAGCAGCTGTGGGAACCAGGCCCTCCTGGACAGGGGGTGTTCTTCGGCCTTCATTGGATCTTCTGCAGGTCGTCGGGCCCAAAGGAAGCGGGCAGCAGCTCCTGGACGGACTTGACCACATACGTGCCGTCGGGCTTGGTCATGTACACGGCCCAGTCGGTGCCAAACTGGAAAAGAGACAAGGCCAGGCTGAGGGGGGCAGGTGCTGAGGGCTTAGGGGGACCTGAGTTTCCGTCTGGCTCTCACTCCCTGCCCCACATCCCTCTGGGTGCCTTAGTGTCCCCATCTGTAAAATGGTGATGGCAGAAATTGTGCTCGACACATAGACCTTGAGAGTTCCAACGGCCTGGGGCGCATTGTTGGTGGGCAATGTGTCCTTTGAGGGCTCACCCAGGGCTTTGTAAAAATGACATCTAACCGCAGAGGCCGACTTCCTTCTGCTATGATGAACGACAGCTAAGGCCGGCTTCCCTCACTGTCTGTCCTTTACCCGTCGGGACAGGTCACATGCCTGCTTCATGATGCCCTCAGTAGTGCGCTTGCCTTAGTATCTACTCTTGGAGGTAGGTGCTATTAGGCCCATTTTATAGATGAGGAAACCGAGGCTTACAGGGAACAGTGAGCTGACTCCCCCTCTTTCTTGTGCACTGTGAGGAACAACATTTGCTTGCTGTACAACCTCAGGCAGAGGATAAGTCTTTAGGGCTCAGCGCCTTGATCCATGAGACAGTTTTAGAGATGGGAGAATGTGGTAGGCAGGTCGGTCGGTGGGCGTTAAGTTGATGGTGGTGTCATGGAGATGGTGTGCATCAGCAGACCCAGGCTCTCCCTGGCCAGGTGTGGCGAGATTTAGAGACAATTCCGGGAAAGACACATAGTATGTGCTCAGTTAAACGCACCCCTTCTGCTAGGTCATGCTGGCTGCCAGCGACTGCTCAGGTTCGCAGCCTCCACTTCTGTCTGAACCACCAAGTTATCACCAGACACCATCAATCTTCTGGCTTTTTCAGAATTAATGTTTTAAGAGAGAAAAATTTTCTGCCTGGCAGGCTTTGCCTGAGGGCATGGACAAAAGCTGAATGCAGGCGGACCTGGGTGCCCTGGTCCCCAGCCCCAGGCCTCTCCTCTCCCTCCTTCCTGTGGCATTCCCTGCCTCCAGGGCCAGCAGCGAATCTGGAGAAAACAGTCCTGAGCAACTGGGCCCAGGGGAGGCTTTGGGAGCCAGAGACTGGCGTCCCATGGTGGCTTCCCTACGTGACCTTAGACACTGCCACCGAGCTGGGCAGTGTGTCTGTCCCTCTAGAGTGAGACAAGTGCCAGAGAGTGACCTCGGTGCCTCCAGGGCAGCATTTTTCATCTGGATTTGGGGAATGCATTGTGCAAACTCTGCCGGGCTTGGGCTCGCAGTCCTGGAGGAGAAGAGGCTAGAGACTGTGCAGCCTCCAGATGCCCCGAAGCCCGAGGCACAGACGCCACAGACCCGGTCCCCTCGCCCCAACGCCCCGGGAAGAGGAACCCCCGGGAACGAGCAGCGTCCCCAGGGCAGAGTCCCTGCTCGGTCTGGTCCTTCGTGGTTCTGCCCAGCGTCCAGAGCAGCAAGCCAGAGAGCGGGAACTCGAGGCCCTGGGGACCCCTGGAGCTGGCCACGGACAAGGGCCACCGATGCCGGCTCATCGTGGGCGGGCGCTCGGCTTCTCTGACCCTTTTCAAAGAGCTTCTCTGGAAATGGGGCTGATGGCATCCGCTTCTCTCCTGGGCTCGGGGTGAGGGCCAAACAAGCTGCAGTGTTCAGAGCGGTTGGTGACATTGCGCCAGAGCTCAAGGGCCGAGTGTGGGGCTCTGAGCTGGTGGCTTTCACCTTTTGGGATTCCAAAGGACACATTCTCTTTGAGAATCCACAAGGCTCACTGCCACTCCCCAGTGTTCATATAAACCTCAAAAACTCCCACCTGGCCCAGATGAAGAGCCCGCGGTCTAAGCCACCCCTGTGGTTTTAGAGTTGGCGGAATCACTGCCTTCCGACGACGACGGTGGCTTTTGTAACACACACATCACAACCCAGACACTCCTTTTTGCAAACGTCCCTTCATTCTCTTCTTTTTTTCAGCGTTTAAAAAAAATGTGGCAACGTGGACACAACATGAAATCTGGCTTTTGAACCATTGTTAAGTGTACAATTCAGTTCCTGCTGCTTCTGGAATAAAATTGCCCTCCGTCTGGTGCGACCGGGCCCCATCTGGCCCCTGCCCAGGCCTCTGACCCCGCATCCCATCGTCCCCTCACTCCGCTGCCCAGGTCCTGTGCTTCTTGCTCTGTATCAAACTCACCAAGGGGTGACCTTGTTGGTCTCTGGAAAACTCCCTGAACCTTCCCCTCATTTCTCGTGATTTGGATTTCTGCTCAAATGCCTTCCCCTACAGAGGCCCTCCTGGCCATCTGGAGCAGGGTGGACACCCCCTCTGTCCAAGGCCAGTAAGTATCACGTGGCCTCTGTGTAACGGCTCGGCTCAGCTCTCCAAGGGACGGTGGCCCAAGATGATACATCAATGATGGGCACAGAGGGTTCCAATAAGACTTTATTGATAAAGACCAGTGGAGGCCAGCTGTGGTCCACAGGTGGGCGTCTGCAGCCCCTGCTCTGGAGTGTCCCTGCCCTCTCCCTCTCAGAACCTTTCTTAGTTGCCTCCTTGTTTACTGTCCACCTGGGCCCCGGGCCGTGAGCTCTCAGGAGGCAGGGCCTGACTTGCCTTGTCCCCAGCACTGGCTCAGGGCCTGGCACCCCTGACACCCACTCGGGAAGTATTTGCGGGAAGAAGGGGCCGTTGCAGTGACTCTGTGGGTTGGGGAAGCCCTCGGAGTCGGCCAACCGCACCGGGCCACTTGGCGGGGCTCCTGTGGCCTGGAGGCCAGAGCCAGGGCCTTCTGCCGGGGACCGGCCGGGAGGGGGCTCTTACCTCTCTCATGACCTGCCGGCAGGCCCCGCATGGCGAGATGAAATCATCTTGCAGGTTACTGGGGAAATAGAGATTGGAAGGCAAATTAGTGTGTCCCGCGGCATAGGACAATGGCTAAGATTGAGGCGCTGAGTTCCTGCCCCATTCCAGGTAGGCGGGACCCCTGGGCAGCTCCTGATTCAGACATGTGATGTCCCAGAGGCTGGGGAGGCGACTTGGTGGCCTCCCACACTTCCAAGGGGCAAGGCCAGCGGCAGGAATGCGGTCGTCTTCAGAGCATTCAGTAAGTGTTTAGTGAACACAAAGTGCCGCCCACCCACTGGGGTTCCAGGGGTTGAGGAGAATTTGACTCTGGCCTTCAGGAGATGGCTCAGCCCAGCAGGTGACAGAAAGCTGGATATTACTTTAAACAAAATGTAGTTAGGACACAGAGTAAGAGGGAGACAAGCCCTGCCACCAGAGTGAAAGTGGATATTTCACAGAGGAGGCAGCATTTGACCCTGTCCTTGGAGGAACAGTAGAGGTCATACATTGCCATTTAGTGAGCAACTACTACCCCAGGCATTTGACATACATCATTTCATTTAATTTTCAGAGTAAACTGTGTGTCAGAATGGTCCATTTACAGGTGAGGAAACAGGGTCAGCGAGATGAAGTAACAGAGATGCTGTTCTGAAGCTGGGTTTTTTTCTATGTTGTGCAAAGGAAATAAAGAGTATGTGCAAAGGCCCTGATGCACGAAGAACAAGATGCATGAGACTCAAAGAGTAAAATAGGCTGGAATCTAAGAGGCCTGGAGAGGAGGGGCTTAGAGCCAGGGGCTGCCTGTGAGAATTCAAGCACCTACAGCCAGCCCTCCAGTTCTGAGCAGGACAAAGGTCACCTAAAGGTTTAACTGGGAAACTCGAAGCCCGCTGGAGCACCAGACCTTAAGCCAGCAGCCATCATCATCTCGCCCACTGCACCCTGGCTTTAAGATACACCTGCAAGAACAAGGGACTTCAACTTCTTAGGTTTTCAGCTCCTCCTTTTGCAACCTATGCGCGAACCTGGAGTCATTTTACCCATCCTCATTTCTTGGTCTATAAAACATGGAGAATGAAGTCATCTACCTCGTGTAGGACCGTGAGAAAACAAAATGAGGTGTGGCGAGGTGTGTATGAGAGTCTCCTAAACTTTAGTTTGTGCCCATATTGTCATCGCCTGTGCTAGTTCCTTGCATCTATCGTCACTGGCGCGGGCTCAGTACTTTATCACATTTCATGTGTGCTATGTATTATTTTATGACTCCTTTTATTCTGTGTTAACAATATTTGTTTAATGTGTGCCAAGAACATGCAGAGCGTCCTGCAAAGCCCCCTGTGTGTACTGCCTCGTTTCAGACCAACATTTAGTGAGCACCTGCTATGTGCCAGGCACTGTCATTGGTGCTGGGACAAAGCAGTGATTGAGACAGACTCACTGTGCTCAGGAATTTACAGTCTAGGCAGGAGAGCCAGACCACCCACCAGCCGACCAGGTACCAAGGGAGGTGGGATGGGTGCTATGAACAGAATAAAGGGGCTTAGGGGACAGAGGGTGCTATTTTATTTAATCTTCCTGATAACAACCTGCTCCATGGAAAGGTGGGGTCCTCTCTGAGCATTGTTTCAGAAGTCCATGGGAACATGAAAATGTGCAGACCTGGCCCAGGAGGCCCCTGAGCCAAGCTGACCCTAGTAATGATCAGGAGACAGCTGTTGCACCATGGGCCTCTCCCATAAGCCTTTAAGGCTGGACTGGGTTATATCTTGCTTTGTTCTACCCACATAAACCAAGAACCTGCTCTAAGCCGGGCAGTCAAGGAAAAGGATCAACAAAGACAATGGTTGGGGGGGAATGAATCTGAATGGCAATGAGGTAACAAAGGCAAACAGTGGGCAGGGCCCTGGGAGAGGAACTCCAGGTGAAATTCAGCCTCCCTCCCATGACCTGTAAGACCTTATATGATCTGGCCCCTGCTGAGCTTGCCACTTCCTGTCTTGTGGCATGCTCTGTCAACTACCCGATGAACAGTTCCTTGAACTTGGTGACCTGTTAGGGCATTCAAGGGGGGCAATCATGTATTCTATGGGAAAGTTAGATTGGCCAGTTCAACTATTGAAAGTCACAAGAAGGTGTGACCGCAACATAGTTCTAAGAATAACAATGGCCCTTGCTTACACTGTGCCTCTGGTCCGGGCACTGTGCCAAGGGTCTAGAGCATTTATTCCCCAACACCAGGCAAGGGTGAGGGCTGAGCAGGTACCCTTATGAACCTACATGTTAGAGATCATGACAGCTGAGGCCCCTTGCCCACGGCCACAGAGCCGGGACTGGAACCCAGAATCTGTTCACTCTACCTTTGGGGACCTTGCAGCCTGCTGAAGTAATAATGATGACTTCAAAACCGTAGTTTAAGATCGGGACATATTCTGCTCCAGACAGAAACCATCTCAGGAGACGCTGGGACAGCCTATGGATAGATGTTACTCTCCCCATTTCACGGATCAGGTCAGCTCAGAGACCATGGCGCCATGCCCGGGGTCCGTGGGGGAGCAGGAGGCCTCGATGACCCTGGAGCCCGTGGCTTACCCTTGGCTCCACATCCCTGCCCAGAGTCCCTGGAGGGCGGCTCCATCTGGACACTTCCTCCTGCCTCCCTCTTCTCCCTCGCCCCTCCCCCTCCCCTTCCTGCCTTGAGTTCTCTGTGGTTTGTGCTGAACTTGGTCACAGCTGAAGTCACGCTGGTCAGATTAGACAGCCTGGAAACCCATTGACCGTGGTGACTGCAGCTGGGACTCGGGCCAAGCTCATTCCTCTGCAAGCAAAGCCCACCCGGGCTCTGTGGGTGGACCTTTGAGCCTCTCCTGGGTGCAGTGTCTGTCCTTAGAGATCTCAGAGGGGCTCGGTCTGTTCAGCCTTGTCCAGTGCGAGAGAGAGAGAGAGAGAGAGAGAGAGAGAGAGAGAGAGAGAGAGAGAACTGGCATTTCCCATCCATCCCCTAAATCCATGCTCTCAATTGATCCAACAATGACCACATTCCTGGTTTGGGGACACAGGCACAGGGAGAATCACCAGAGTAGGACAGTTGGGCGTGGGAGAAACGCAGGTTATGTGTAAATAAGGACATTTGCTAATCGTTGCTAGCAATACCCAGTCGTGTTTAAAAGCAGATTATGACCAAGAGAAAAAGGCTTTTATCTGGAAAGTTCTAACGGCAAGGCTTCTGCCCCGTTATCTTTTTGTTGACTTTAGTTTCTCTTTCTCCAGGATATCATTATTTTTATGAATCAGCTTTGAAAGTTATTTCTTTGAGTTATTTCTCAAAGAAATCAGCTTTGAGTTATTTCTCTCTCTCTCTCTCTCTCTCTCTCTCTTTTTCATTAAGTGCAACTCACATTCTGATATTTGCTCATCTGCACAAAATGTTCCCGGCACAGCCTCATTTATTCTCCCAAAGCTGAAGGAAAGCCAGGACAGGGCTCCGTCATGGGGGAGGCTTCCGGGAGCAGGGTCCTTTCTCCCTCGGTGTACCCGTGGCCAGTCACCCAGAGAACAAACCTGGAGTGAGATGGCCCACCCCTAGGCCAGCCTGTGGGAGCTCAGGATCTGAGAAAAGCCACGTTCACCGGCCTTGCTCTGGGCAGCTGCATGAGGGCCAGGAAGATGCTCTGTCCCCCGGGAGGACCACCTTGCCCATGGGGTGTGACCCAGGCAGCCAAATCCCCCCAAGACCAAGGCTTGGTCAGCCATGGAGCCTCTTTCTGGGTGGGCTAACCTTTCTCATGTCATTAACTCGCTAGTGGCAATCTCCTGTAATATGCACAACTGGACCAAAAGCAGCTCACCCTGGGTCATTCAATCAATGTCAAATGAGTAAAGAGGTCATTCAGAGGGAGCCCTGCGGCCACCGTATTTGGGTCCAGAGCCAGCAAAAACTCGGCGTGCCTGCCTTGAGGGTAGGTCCCCAGAACAAGGACATTTGTGTCTGGGGCACAGAGAGAGCTGGCTGGGGTTCTTCCTCAGTCAGAACCTGGGCTGGGGCCGGGTTCGTCTGAACCATGCTCCGTCCCCCGGCCGCCACCTCAGCAGCTGGTCTCCCAGACCTGCTTCTGGCACCCGGAGATGGGCGTGGGCTTAGGGCCGGGTTAGCAGCCGCTGACCTCCTGGAACAGCCTGGCACAGTGGGATGGCCCTGGAGTGACACTCTGGGACTTGGGTTTTGTCCCAGCTCTGCCACTAACTCCTGGGAAAGTAGCTTGACTTCTCTGGGCCTCAGGTTTGGTTTTTCTGTAAAATGGAACTTAAGCCTGGGTCCCTCCAGGTTTGGTCTCTGGGCTGCCTTTCAGTTGTGCCCTGTGCCATTGGAAGGGAACCTGCCCTGGCATTAGGGTGGCTCTTGGGGCTCACAGGGGGCAGAGTCCACTTCTTATTTATCTCCTCACCCTCAGACTCAGCAGGTCCTGAATCCGTGCCTGGCACCGAGGTGCTCAGGAGTCCCACGTGGGGCCTTGGCTGAAGGGCTGAAGGAGGGTCACTGTCACTTGCCTCCCCCACTCACCTGGAGATAACAATGGCCTTGAATTCCTTGTGTCCCTCAGAGATGGCCTTTTGGATGGCAGTCCGCTCAGCACAGTTGCCCAGTGGGTAGACGGCATTTTCTACGTTGCACCCTGAGGAGAGAGGAGAGCCTGGTGATCTGTCCAGCACAGCCACTTCCTAATAACAATTCAGAGTAGGTCCAAGTCCAAGACCAAGATCCCAAGTCCCTTCTCCCGTGTTGCTTCTCCATTCCTATGACATACACCTCATAGTCAAAGCTGTCCCACTCCATCCGCTCCCACCTTCCAGCTTATGGAAAAGGAAAAGAAAGGAAATAGAGGTAAGGAATCTCATTAAAGAAAATATAACCCACAAGTTTCCTATTGTCACTTTGGGCCACAACCTATTGGCCAAAATTCAGTCATCACATGGCCACACTGTGCTACAAGGGAGTCAGTCAGTCATATGGGAATGGGGGTCTCTCCGATCACTTAGAGGAAGAATAGGAAATGGATACTGGGGAGTAATTAATGTCTCTGCCTCAGGAAGAAAGCAAGCTACACAGAGTGATGAGGAGCGTACACCACGTCCCAAAGGTCGGGAGACAGCCTGGCTCCCGGGGCCACTTCTTCATGGTCTCAACTCCCTGAAAATGGGCATTTCCCAGTCAGCCGACCTGGCACTGCCAACATTGTCTCCTGGGAGCATCCCTGGCTCATTATCCCCAGGAGGACCCCTGAGAGGGGCACTGGGAAAGACTCTCTCTCTCTCTGACGGTGTTGGGCCACCTTCACAACTCACCTCCCACGGGAGGCCCCAGGATTGCCCGCCATCTTGTGCCATCCTGGGCACCTCCTGCGAAGCTTGGGAGTTTTCTGTTAGTGGATTTCTTTGATTTGATGGTGGTTTTGCAACAGGACTCACATAGAAGCCTGGCTGAACCCGGGCAGCAGGTGACCAGCAATGGCAAGATGGCAGGCTGATGGCCCTTGTTAAGTCTGTGGCAGACTGCCATAACCTGAAGGGCATACTGTATTACCTACCATTAATATTCCTCTACCTGGCAATGAGAAGGAGCCCTGTGGCCAGGATCTAATTAAGAGTGTCATTTGTTACCTTCCCACTCAGACTATTGTTCAGGTGCCTCAACAGCCAGCCCTGACATGCGGCAGCAGGAGGCCAGTTCTTGGAAACAGAGTTGGCAGGGTCGATAACCGTGTCTAGAAGGGCCTTTTGGGTGTGGTGCTCCTGCATGGGAGGACTGGAAGCAAAGAGAGCAGGAGGCATCTGAGTTTTTGATAGAATTGAGTAGCCAAAGAAGGCTACGCTGCTGTAACAAAAAGGTCTCAAAATACAGTGACTCAAATGTCATAGAATTCTGTTTTTTCTGACATAACCATTCAGTGTAGGTAGTTGGTAGAGCAAATAGGCAAGTCAGGTCCACAAGAGCCTATGATTGTTCAACCCCTAAAGAAACTCCTGAACCCCCAAAACACCACACGTGTGCGCACAGAACTGGGGGCCCCCAAAGGGGGCCGGCCATTCTCTCTAACACACACATTAGAAGAATGGCCAAGGATCATAATGACCAAGGAAGAAGCTCCCAGAGGGCTGAGCCAGGGGTCCCAGAAGACAGTGAACAAGGGTCACCCCCAGGGCAGAAAGGGAAGGGGAGCGTGATCCAGGGCAGAAGGGCTGGTTTTCACTAATGTCCTGACTGGGGCCCCCTGTGGGTTTCCTGTTCTTCGCTTTGCTAATGTGACATCTTACGGCTGCTGCCCTGTCCTGCTCCACAATGTATATTGAGGGAATGGGGACAGATGATTATTTGGTCTATGAACTGCTATTCCAGGCCAGGGGACTAGTGACAGGCAGAGCCAGGCTGGGCTGGAGGAAGAGGGCTGTGGAGAGATCCGGCTCTGAGCTGGATGTGGAGGTGGTCAGCGAGCCCTGCTTCCTCTTTGGCACCTTACCTCATTCCCAGCAGATAGTTCGTGTGGAAGCTGACATCTTTTCTCACATGGCCTAAGGCTAAGCCCTGACCCAACCTGGCCAATCAGAGTTCTCTGGGTGGGACTTTGGTTCCTCTCTGACACCCAGTGTGGGCCGCCATGTCTCCATCCATCATGGGCGAGATCAATACCAGACATGAAACGCACAGAGGACTGAGAGGGAAGAGGTGAGGCCAGGTAGGGAGAGGAGAGTCTGGCCCGAGGCAGTTGCCCGTGAGGCCCAGCTATATTCCAGCTCCTCCCACCGTTCAGTTAGGTGCACTCAGGGACTGAGAGAGGCCGCCTTTGCTAAGGGCAGAGACTCTTCATTTAGGCCTGCCCGGCATCTCTGCCTTCATTTTGTATCTGTCTCCTATTAACTTAAAGTTTGGTCTGCACATAGGCATGTTAAACCGTTTAAGGAGTGTTTATCTAAAAAACAGTAACATGAGGGTCACTTGCCCTCAATTCATCTAGCCCATCTTGTCCTCCTGGAAGACTGAGGCGAGATTCGCAGCATCCTGTTTCAGGCCCCTGAAATGGGGCCTGGGAGTCCCCAGTCATGGCCCCCTTCTAGGATCACAAGAGTGGTAGACAAATGATCTGGGGGGCAAGTGGAAATGGGACCCTGGAGTGATAAGGACTTCTCCAGAGCCCCTTCACAGAACCAGGACTGAGAGAATGATCCACCAGAGCGCAGTTTGACCAAGATGGCTTAATTGTGCAGCCCACCCTACTCCTACCCCCACCCCAATTCCTCCTCCATTTAACTTGAGGTCCTGTCAGCACTGGGGCTCAGGGGCTGGGTTTCACTTTGTCTTTTGGCCACATCAGTTAAAGTTTCCTTTTCTGCTTGTTTTTTTTTTTTTTTGGGGGGGGGTGGCATGTGGTCATTCCTGGTTAGCTGGGGCTTCAGAAGTCAGGCCTTGGGCCTAGGTTGCTGGTCACACATACATTCTCTTTCTGTCTACAGTAATTCATGAGCATTTCTATCCTTTGCATCTACAGATAAATCAATCCGTAGAGTAGGCCTACTCTATGGATCCTGAAAGCAGCGGTTAGCAGGTATCGTGGCCCACGCTGGCTAAGCACTCAGTCATTCATATTAAAATGTGAGTTATGAGCCGGGTGCTGGCACACAGCTGTAATCCAACTCCAGAGGCTGAGGTAAGAGGATCTCAAGTTTGAGGGCAGCCTCAGCAATTTAGTGAGATCCTGTCTCAAAAGAAAAAATGAAAAGGGGTGAGGATTGGATCAGTAGTAAAGTGTCCTGGGGTTCAATCCCTAGCCCCTAAAGTGAGTTATATGGCTGAGATAACTGACCCCTTATCACTCAACCTCTGCTGGGCTGACGGAAGTTGAGTGAAGAAATGAACCAGTCCCTCTTGGTCCCCAGCATGGTCCTGATCCCCACCACTCCTGCCTGCCCAAACCTGACCACAGCTCCCACCTCTGCTGACCCTGGTGTATGAGTTAGGAGACGGGGCTTGGCGGCAGGATGGGAAAGGCACCCTCCTCACACTCTGTCTGAAGCGCCTCCTGGGAGGGAATCCTGGGTCACCTTGTGGTTAAAGGGAGGACTAGATGACCACAGGGGGAATTCAAGCCCCTTTAGAGAAAGTCCCCAATCTGGGGCCAGGGTAACAGCCCCAGGGACTGAAAGTTCACCTGTTGCTAGCCAATGTACCATTGGCGTTGCGGTTTGCTCCCCCTCTGTGCATTTTCCGATGGAAAATGAAACTTACCCATGCAGAGTAGAAAGGAAATTATGTTAGGTTCAGCTGTCAATCAAGGTGTCAATCAACTCCAAATGCCCCCCTAAAGGAACTAGCACAATGCAATAAAAGCAAGCTCCGTGGTGTAGTCAGGGCCTTGAGCTACCTCCTAGCTTGTTTCACTTCTGTTTTCCCGAAATGAACTTCTGGTTTCCCAGAATGAACTTCTGTCTTCAACAAACCTCTTCTCTGCCTGCCAATGCCTGGCTCAGTTCTTTTCTTGGGACACCAAGAACCCTGGGACCCCTGATAGCAACACCTGCTCTTGGATTCTGCCTCTCCCAGGTTCGTCCCTGCTGACCTTCCTCTCAGGCCAGCAACCCTCACCAGCCCTGACCTGTCCCTGACTCAGGCCTGACCCTTTTCCCAATAGACATGATTCACATAGATCTGGGGATTCCCTGATGAGTTGTGAAAGCAAATTGCCACATTTGGAGAAGACCCAGTCTCTTAGGACAAGGGCATGTGTCTGGTGGAAGTTCAGAAAGGTGACATTTAGAGCAGTCTTCCTTATCATGCGCAAAACATCTCCACAGTTAAGAGGAGAGCAGTCGTCCTGCTGGGAGCACCCTCCTGCCCCCCCCCCCGCCCCCATGACTCGGGTGCTTTGCAGGAACAACCCTGAGGTTCTATTGGGTCCTGGGACCCTTTGTTCTACTGGCTCTGAGAATTTGGGACAGGGGCTGAAATTCCTTAAGGATCAATTGTCCTCCTTTGCAAAATGATAATGATAGGTATTGAGCCTCCAATGGCATATCTGTGCTGAAGTTCCATGTCATCAAATTGAAATTAACTTGTTATCAGACCTTTCCAGATGTCAGGAGAAACAATAGATTTCCCTAATGGGTCAGTTTCCACAGACACGATAATGAAGTTCTTGCTCCTTGCACACACACAAACGGTAACCTGAGGTTAACCTGGCGTCTCCCTGTCCCTGCCTGCTGTACACCAGATGTTGAGCATCCCCTAAGGCCCATGTGTTGAAGGCTTGGTCCCCAGGGTGGCCTACTGGGAAGTGCTGTGGACCTCCAGCAGGAAGTCTCGTGGGAGGTCCTGAGGTCATTGGCATGTACTCTAAGGGGACTGTGGAAACCTGGTCTCTTTCTCTTTCTTGCTGCTTCCCGGCTCCTGAGGGGGGTGGTTTATATGGCTACATGCTCCCACCATGGTAGGTTGCCCTTGCCAGAGGCCCAAAGCATGGGACCATTTGATCTTGGAGCAGAATCTTCAGAACTGTGAACCAAAACAAACCTTTTCTCTTTGTAAGTTAATTTCCTCCCGTGACACAAAGCCGACCAACAAACCATTTTAGAAGAAAAGTAACTTTGAAGTGATCAATCTAATTTTTGTCTTTTTGTTTTGTCT